TGCTAATGTTCAACTTTGTAGCCTTGTAATTTTGAACCCGATTCAGAAGACAAGGGAACTCCTGTATCGAGCATTTTGGACAACTTCGCGGAGGACTTTTTTGATTGAACTAATCCGCATTTGCGTTACATAGAGAGGAGGATCACGAAAGCCTTCCGCGGTTAATCTGACGGCAAGAGTAACCAATGATCCGTCAACCATTGAGGATATTTTACGACAGCACCGTGGTAGGTGCAAGCCGGATACGGAAATCGTGTCGAGCAGTCATTGCTAGGAACCGAACCCGGCTCATCTGGCTGGAAGGCGAATGCTCTATCCCCTGAGCCACCACGGCTCTTTTTGCAAAATTGCCAAAAGGCTTAAATACTTCAAACAATGCTTTTATTTCGTATCGCATAAAAAAAAAGAGATTATAAATATTTTAGGCTCTTCTTTCCATAGATACGCCTCTAAGCAGTGGCGTAGTTTTAACATATGTTCGATGGGGAGTTATCGGTCATCTCCTTCTAATATATATATAATAGAAGGATATAATATGTATCACATATATAGATATATATATTCTGTCCCGCAGTGGACTGATCGTAAAGATACAATTCCCAATACCACACCGAAGTCAAGCATCACTAGCTACGGTCAATAAGCGGGTGGGTAACCACTTTGATCAGCCTGCGTAGAGACCGAAGGTGCACAGTAAGGATCCTCGCTAAACTGTTCTACCGTAAAGTGCTCGATTTCGCGCAGGTCATCGGGCCATCAAAGCAGGGAAGCCCCCTGCAGTTTTATTTCGGTTTTGTCGCCCAAACATTGCCGGCCTACTGTTTGTCTGCATATGTTTTCTTTTCTCTGCAGAGCTGACTTTCCACCAAGATTTCTGTTTCGTTCTGCAGAATATCTTGCGATGAAAAACCTTTCCCACAGCTAATTAGTTGTTTACCACTTATAAACGCAAAGCATTCTACGATTTAAATTTACTTATGCTTTTATAGTAATTAATTTTAAGTCACAAAAAATTATGGAGGTAGGGGACCTAATTTCGAAAAATACGAGTATTTTTGACCGATTTTGCTATTTAAAACGGCATTCTTTCAAATGATGGAAAAATTGTGTAACTTACATTTTTAAAGTTTCTCGATCATTAAATAAAATAATAATATATATTTACTAAAAGTTATATTTTGTATGAAATTATCTTTAGGTAGTTATTTTATTTACATCGCACTAGAGCTGGGCTATTGGCGACGGCCTGAGAAACATCCCTAAGGATGATCCGAAGTAATGTCATCACAATTTTGATCCTCTGTCTTGGTAGTCCGACGACCTGTGCACGAAGTCGAGCACTTTACGGTGGAACAGTTTAACGAGGACCGATACGGTGCACCCTCGGTCCCTACGCAAGCTGATCTAAGTGGTCACCCACCCTGTTACTGACAGCAGCCAGTGATGCTTGACTTCGGTATTCTACTGGGAACCGTGTCCTTTCAATCAACCCACTGCGGGGCAAATTATCTTTAGAAAAACGAATTTTATAATTGTATGCAAAATGTTTTCAATTTTTGGGATAAAGTGAAATACAGAAAAACTAAAGTTAACTTTAAAGGTTCCAAACTTTAAACCGCGCTCCTGAACAAACTATTAAAACAATATTTTCAGATTGCGATTACTATATTTTAGGGATCAGAAACCAAATTCGTCGAAAAAAGGTATCAGAGTAAGTACGTTTTTGAGTCATATTTCTTAACTTAAAATACAGTTTGCATTAAATAATTAGTATAGTTGACGTCTACCCTATCAAATTAATAAGAATGAGTCCTAGAACATGAAGATCGGTCCTTTAGATCAAAAGTTATTCCGGTGGGTCCATTTATTTTATTGCACACTGTACATTCATTTGAAGTATATGTCAATATTGCTGATAATAGCAAAAGATTTTTTCATTTTTATACAAGAAGATAATTTAGCTGGTGGTTATCCTCATATATATATATATATATCGCTTTGATAACTAAAAAGATTATGATTGGAAGAGGAAAATGAGGTGAAATGATGTTCACTCTTTATATTAATATCAGACATAAATGAAAACTTCTTTTTATCCTCTTTTGTATAATTTTCTTAAGTTTAATAACAGAAAAATGCATTTTCCTCAAACGAACTTTTGCCGCTATAGCGGAACGAAGTTTTGTATCTTAAATATTAATGTTTTGAAGGTATCGTAATATCGGACTTCTCGCGATATGAATCTCGCGTATATACTAGTGAATTGGAATTATATTTTTGTAGTGGTAGACACACTACAATACTCCCCCACCAGAATTATAGCTGTAATGGAATTCGATGAACAGATGCCACTAGTTGATTCATTGCTGTTTTATGAGGAGCCGGGAGAGCTGTATTAAGATCACCGTACTCTTGAATAATGTCACAAATACATGGACAAAAAAATTAGCGCACCAAGAAGGAAGGAGTCGTCAAAATGAAACGAAATTTTCCATTCGTAATGACTACTTTGATATAAGTAAATGGTTAGAAAATCAAAGAAAAACGATAATCTTCGGATCATCCTCAGGGATGTTTCCCAGACCGTCGCCAATAGCCCATTGTGCAGCTCTAGTGCGACGTAAATTAACTACAACAACAACATTTTAGAAAAAAAAAAGAATATTTTGTTTTCAATTTACCTTATTATTTTAAAACTAAATTCTGTCTACATTTATTTAATTTTATCAGAAATAGAGTTAAGTTTTTAAAAATATTTATCACATTATTTTCTTTTTAATTAAATCAAAATTTTTTGTTCCTCCCCCAGTAATTATGCTCCTTTTTTAAGGGACATCTTATTGGCCCGAACATCATCAAAATTCTGATTGCCACAGAAACTATAATTCCACCTTTGCCTATAATGCAATTGGGTCGGCTGTGGCACCTGTCAGTAAAAAGTGTAGATACATGCATAAAATACCCCCTTTTCAATTAATACTAATGAAATCTGAATTAAGTGATACAAATGTGAAACTTTTACAATAAATTTTTTACCATGTGCGAGGCAATATCTTGAATGTTTATAGTTGTTCTATTTCTTTCCGCAATAATAAGTTTTGCTTTTACTTTACTTGCTAGTCTAAAAATTCCCGCTAACCGTTGGTGCCCTAATATTTAAGGCTGGCAACTAAGTTTCGCCTTTTAAAATGTTTTGTTTCAAATTAAACTTTGTACTTACAATTAAGTTATAGTGCCTCAATCCACTGGAAGTGTTTTGAAAAAAGCGATAGCATCTTCTATATTGCACAAAAAAAAATATTGATTTGGTTATCCGTTACTTTAAAGGAATGAATTCTCCCAGTCTGTATTCATTCTACATTCTGTGGCACAATAAGCATATTTTGAGGCTAAATCTGATCACTTTATAATGTGAATTTTGCTGTTTATGTGTCACTGCTACAGGAAACGCTGAAAAATTATCTGTTTTTCCTCACATTATTTGTTTGAGCCGTGATGGCTCAGGGGATAAAGCATTCGCCCTCCCAATGAGGTGAACCGTGTTCGAATTCCAACAATGGCTAGTCAATACGAATTCCACATCCGGCTTGTACCGACCACAGTGCTGAGGTAAAATATCCTCAGTGGTAGATCACGAGTCCCCCTGCAGCCAGGCTAACCGTGGGAGCTTTTCGTGGTTTTCCTCTTCATGTAACGCAAATGCGGGTTAGTTTAATCAAAAAAGTCCTCCACGAAGGCAAGTTTCTCCCAATACTTGATCCAGGAGTTCGCTTGTCTTCTGTATTGGGTTCAAAATTACAAGGGTACGGTAGATAAATATTATACTCTAACTCATGATCCGATTCAAATGGGAGGTTTTCGTGGTTTCCCTTTCCATGCAACGCAAATGCTGGTTAGTTCCATTAAAAAGTCCTAAACGAAGGCAAATTTCTACAAATACTTGGTCCAGGAGTTCCCTTGTCTTCTGGATTAGAGGTTACAAGGCTACGGAGTTGAACATTATTAGTCGTTAACCCAAAAATTGGTTCGGCTGTTCAACGACAATTATAAAATAAAATTATTTGTTTAATTTTAGTAAGTGCTTTACTTGGTTTTGTGACAGTTACCAGTAGTTCAAATAAGCGTTTTAGTTCAATTATTGCCAGAAGGTAAGGTTTAAGTAATATACAATTCTTTTTTACTAGTAGTAAAATATCAAACAAAAAATGTGAAAAAGATTTCAATTTCTAAATTTTCTTATTGCGTTGGTTGATAAAAAAAGTTTTTCTTTGTATATCTACTAAGAATCATGAAATCTACTTTAAGTTATTTAGCTGACAAGTAGTGCGGTTATTTTGTCAGACTCCACGTCTGCGCTGCAATCTTGCAAATACACAGTATACAGATAATACACGTATTCTGGAGTGCAGAGAACTGGCAATGTCCATCTCTATTTCCTTAGAGTGGATCCCAGCCCACTGTGGGATTCCTAGAAACGAGACTGTCGACTTTTTAGCCAAAAAGGGGGCAGAGGTCCTCCAGAAACCTTTGAAAAGCCTCTCTTTTCATTCAGTAAAACTCCTTCCTGATAAAAAGAAGATATAACACCAGGAAAAGGCAAAAAGTATTATGTGACTCTGCTGGTAAGCCATGGGCCCCTCTGTTTAAGGATAAACTGCAGATTCCAGATTTTCCTAGAAAAGCAGCTGTGGCAATTTTCCGCCTTACAACAGGCCATGACAATATGTCCGTGTATTTGTATCGGTTTGGGCTTTGTGATTCTCCTTTTTGTTCTTAGTGAAGACAACATCAACATCTTGACTCGTGTTCTGAATCTTTGTTTTTAAATTGTAATGTACAGATATTGGAAGGCCAGAGAACTAATGGCGTCATAGCCAATCTTCTAGGCATTTGTAATAAATAAATATTTAGCTGAAAAAAGTTCTGCCATATTACATCATTTTGAATGAAAAATCAGCTTCATTTAAATAATTTTAATAAATTAAGCAGTATTTCACTCATAAATTTTATAATTTACATTTATTTAAAATTTTACAAAAACGAAAATAAAAAGGAACACTATTTTCTTTACAGGCACGTTAAACACTCTTTCCTGAAAGGCATGAAACAGTACTCAACAGGAACCATCATTCAGGGAAAAAAACAATCACTGTAAAGAGTGCCTGTAAGAAGTTATGATATAATACACACATTGGCTTCTACAATGAGGAAGACAAGAAAATAGGACAATCACATAATTACAAAAGCACCTGTCACAAAATTTCTGTGAAGATAACTGTGGTAAAAGGATTAACATTTTGAAATACAGTATTTACTAAGTAAAGTTGCATATATGTATTGTACTGGTTGCTTAGTCCTGAATCCATTTCATATTGCATGTAAAGTTTTCATTCTCATAAACTATTAAAACACAATCAAAATTTTTTAAAGAAATCATGTTGATATTAAGAGAAATCGAGGAAAATATTGAATAAGTAATCTATAATCATCTTGAATATTATAAAATTTATGAAACATTGATAGAAGTAACTACAAAATAATCTTTAATATAAATGCACCAAATTGCAGTCAAATTACATGATTAAAATTTATTCAAAATAATGGATTACTTTATTTGTCTCTGTCTCCTTATTTTCCATTTTAGGTCAATATTTAATACTGATAAATTAATTGGTGATTTTACATTCATACTAATAAAAAATTTTACTGAACATTAATATGAACACTAGTAAAATATTAAGCTACAATTACAACATATTTTTATGAACAAAACTATTATGATTTTAAATTTATTCAAATCCATAAATGTTAACTGAATATTTCAGTCTTCTGAGATTTTAATATTTAATAAACAAAGTTTGCATCCTTTTCCTTAAGAGCAACATATTATTATAAAAATAGAAATATTTAAATGCATTACTATAAATAAAAATGTTTGTTCTTCTGAAGGGAAGATTGCACATGACAAATACATCTGACAAACACAGAGTTCATTAGTAAATATTTTTAGCTTGCACAGGTAATTCCATCGATCAATTTGAAAGACTTTTCTATAAATTATTTTTCCAATGCATACTTTTTATCAGTATGCAATACAGTTTATTAAGAAATTGCTTAAATTGTACTGTAAAAATTATAAAATTTAGTACACGTGATATGAATTTTTAAAATTTTTGATCAGCATGAGGTTTCTAGCTTTAACATCAGTTCAACACTAATATGTTGTTTCTCACACACATAACTTGTACACTGAAATAGTAACACTGGATAATTATTTTTAACAAGAATCATAACAAGTTTATTGCATTCACTAATACAGTTAGCAATTTAGGAAAGTAAAAAAATTTGTGATGGACACTCTTGATAATTATTTCTTTTTAGTTTGCCAAAATCCAATTTAAAAATTTATAATGAAGAGTTATCATTAACTCCAAAATAATATTCAGATCATTAAATGTTTGTAACAAGTTACAACAATTATTCAGTAAATTTGTAATAGTAGAAGTAATAATATAAGAATCTAATACTTTTTCCTAAGGAAAATGCCAAAATTAATATTTACATTGTAATTTTGAAAAATTTTTTAATTAGAAAAATTTTAATATATTTATAATTTTAAAAAGCATAGAATAAAAATGTTTTCCTAAAGAGTTATTTAGAACATATAATTATGATAAATTATAAAATTTTTATGTATTGGATTTGCCATATTTCCTTTAACAAAATTTACCCACAGTCATTCTTCTTTGGCATATTTTTTCAGTGGTGCTCTACTAATTCTTTAAAATTAGAAAGTAAAACACAAATCTACACAACATATACAATTGTACAATGATATGAAATTTCAACAAATAAAATGAATACTCGGAGCATCAACATAAAAGCTATATAAATTATGTGTTTATATTATTTTGCAATTAACAGGCAAACTAGCATTGTAAACATCTAATGCTGAAATCAATAGGCTACAAATTATGATAGAGTCTTTAGTCTACAAATTATGATAGAGGTGCTCAAAACCATAACTATATTCAAGTTAGTACTCAAGCTAATATATATATGTATTATTATTATGTCATAATACACATACTTCCTTCAAATTATCTTTAAGAGCAAGAAATTTTTCTCAAACTAAATGTTTCACTTGAAAGATAATTATGATATAAAATTTTTTTGCTATGTATCAATAATAATTAAAAATAAAAAGATGCCTTAAGTTTGAATAAGAAAATGGGAACTATGAACAAATGAATATGCGGTCATATTAGAATTATACATAATTATTTCATCAAATTGATAATTATGCAAACCAAAATTATTAATCAATTTAATGAAAACCTGAAATTACTTACAGTAGCACCTATATATTATTGAAGACTAATATAACTTTTCAACATCAGTAAAAATAAAAAAATAAATCAAAATTTAACTTTGAAACATTTTTCAATCTATCAACATTCAAATACCCTAATAAAAATTTTCATTAAACTAATTTACATCAACAATAAGTTTCAAATATAGCTTTTTATCTGAGAAAGAAATTATTTTCTATATTTAAAAGGGCTGTTTTATTGCATTGTGCTAGCTTTAAACAAAAAAATATAAATAAGTCAACATAAAAATGTCATTAAAATTTGTGATTTGGTAATAAAAAGTATGTTACAAAAGAATGAATAAATTTAAATGCACATAATTCTAACACTTTTGTCAATGCTTTAATTTAATAGATAAACTAAATTAATAGATTTAATGTAACATATTGGGAAATCCTACCATTTTAAAATTTCTTGTAAAGTCAATATTGTGAAGAGAAAAAAAACAAAATTTTGACAGCCCAGATAAGCATAGACACTAAATTTTTGACTCAAATTATTTAGACTTTAACAATTTATGTAACAGGAAAATAAAATCAAAAAGCTAAATTAATTTTAAAATCAAAAACTATCAATGTGGTATAAGCACCATATCCATCCCAAAACTTTATGAAATAAGACATCACACACATAGCACAATAAAAATCATAGAAAAAGGGCACAAAATTAATGCCATGCTTTCTTATAAAATTGTAGAAAAAAAATCAGGCTGTACAAAGCACACAAAATTTAAGTACAACAATAGCAACAAGATGTGCAGTTTCATAATTAGGATTCTGAATATTTTTCAGTTTATCTGCAACAGCTTTTTGATCACATTCACAAATATAATTTACAGAGCATTGTTGCAGATATTATTTGAAAAATTAAACTTATTTCCAATGATGGTAACATTACACAATGTGACTGTAAAATAAACGAACATTTGTTTGCATGCTGACAAAAAAATATAAATGCATTGAGGAAGAAATTTCAACAAAAACATTGATTTCAGAATTGCACAAATAAGGGTAAAAACGACATAATAAAAATTTAAGCAATGTTTTCACATGCACATTAAAGCTAAATGTCACAAAATGGTAGTATAAAATACTCCAGTCCAAACACAAATGCTTGCTAATTCAGTAATTACAATTGGTACATTTTTCCTGCTTTGTGTGGTAAAAAGTAATAACACTTAATTTGTTCATGGTGTATTAGTTGGCTATACTGTTTGCTCCAGACACTGAACATCACCATTAGATAGTTCCAAATCATCATTTTCTTGCAAGTCTCTTGGAACAGGTGTATTATTACAACTACGATTCCATTTCTCTTTATGCTGTTCACGGCCAAACCCTTCATCATAATTTCCTCTAGATATAAACAGTTGCTTAAAATGTGGTGTGCAGTAAAGATTTCGTCCACTTTTGGTATAATTTTCTAGCCTAAAAAAATATAATTTAATTATTCATGTTAATTAAAGGAAAACAATCCCAGCTATATAGTCATTGTCACACTATAGCTAATGTTCTAGCAGGTTTTCGGCATAAATATGGAAGAAAAAGTTTTTCTTCCATGAAATTAATGGAGATAGGAAAACTCTCAGTTTATATTAATTAGGAATTTATGACATTTTCTTTTTTATTCTATTTAGAATAAAGAGCTTGCAATAAATAACTATTATTTACAAATGTTGCGCTAGATAATATTAATAAGAGGGCAAATCTCATAATCTTTCAATATAATATCACAGACTTATCCCCCTCCCCCACTATTAACTGGTTAACTGGGTGATAGAAAATTTTAAGCCTTGTCTGGACCCACCAACAGTACTATCAAACTGATGATGACTGAAAACACATTGCCTGGTCTGATAAGTCTTATTTGCTATTGCATTGGGTTGATAGACATTTAAGGGTATGAAGAAAATATTTTCATGAACATGTCAACAGGAGAATGTTTAAGCTGGTGAAGACTATCATGTCATGGGGTATGTGCAGCCTTCATGTCCAATATGCATTCTGGCAAAATTACAGTGGGACAATGCGACCTATTTTCTACGGAGAGGCATATTTCTACCGAGTGGCTCAAGGAACTACCTCTTCTGATTTTAGATACTTTCACTGGTAACCTAATTTCAGACATAAGTATTATTGACCTTATCTTTGATGCCTTGCACTGTGCTGATCATAAGATATCTTCCCCTCACACTTCAATGGATTAATGGTGCGCCCTGTACAATTCGCAATGTAAATTGAAATCTAGCATACTTTCAGGCATTAGTTAAATTCACACTATGTCACTGCTGCAAGCACACCGGGGCCCTATATGATTAGACAAATTAACCAGCCTTTTTTGGCTCTTCAGTGTATATAAGTGAAATAAAATTTTTAAAAACTACAATTTTTAAGTTAACTTAAAAGGAAATAATTCTATTTTTGTCATGCATAATATGAAAGATGTTAAAGAGGCATTTTGGTGAAATGAATTACGAAAATAATGCTCTTCTGGTATTTTTAGGTGGGCCAAAAATAGAATTACTTTCTTTCTCAATCCACTTCAAAAACATAGCTTTTGAAAGTTTCAGTTAATCTAATTCTTTCTTAGCTATACGCCTGTTAGCTTAGGTCAGTAAGCGGTCAAAATTTCAATATACTATAAAATTGAGATTCATTTTGCTAGCCCTATTAAGGGAAAAATTGTAACTTGTATTGTCTTCAGATACAAAGCTCCAGTTGAAATTTGAGCGTTCTAGCTAGTGGGAAAGTTTTAAAGAGTTTTGATTGACAATAAATCCCCTTAGGCCATAATAGCATGTTGAAATTTGTTAACAGAGATCAGGAAAGGATTGATACTTATATTGTCACCTAGAACATCTATATACAACACGTTGTTGAACCTAAAAATTTGCTTATTCCCGAAATGTCATTTAGCATGTACTTTTTTAGTTTTAGGAGGCCATTCAAATAATGCATAACCTTTAAGAATAGCGTTTGAAAAACATTGAAACAAAATGTAAGTATTTTTTGAAATATTTTCATCAAATTAAATGTAATATTATCATACTACAGGCTCCTATGTATTTATAGTATAATTAGATGGTAGATTTAACTACACTAGGTTGTTTAATAAAGATTTTCTGTGTATATAAGAAAAAGTCTGACATAAAGTAATTAATATTATATGTTTTAATTTACTGCAACTGCTCTTCCTAAAATTTAAAAAGTAAAGTTATTGCCTGATTTACAAATAAACTTGGCAATTGATACAAAAAGGATCTCTCAAAAGGTTTCAGTAAGTCAAATCTTTTCATTTAAAAGATATATTCAGTTAGATCTTTTATGAAAAGCAGAATTAAGGTTAGTGATTCTCCACAAGCAACATTATAATTTATTTACTAATAAAATAAATCAAATTGAGTAAAAATTAAATTTTATTTGCCCAATTTAATGTAAATACAGTCAAACCCTGCTATAGTGAACACGGTTTATAGTGAACTCCCAGATATAGAGAACAAAATGTTCCCTCCCGTAGCTTGATACGCACGTATAATGTTATTTTATTTTTGGATATAGTGAAGTAGAAAAGAGAGAGGAAGTTGGATATTATGCACTTTTTCTGTTTTTGGCAGATTTACTTTAATTTTTTTTTTTTGTAATAATTTTGAAATTTCTACTTCAAAATAAATATATATACCGATTTTTAAAACTAATTATAGCATTAAATGTAGCAATAAGCATTTTTCTTGTTTGCTTCATAATTAGTTCAGTATTCGAAGAAGCCGCAATCTTCCTGTATCTGGACAAACACTTCAAATCAAAGCTGATGAGTTCGCTAAACGATTTGGTGAGACTACTTTTATGTACTCGAATGTCTGGTTAGACTGGTTTAAAAAGCGGAACAAGATAAATTCAGGAAAAATTATCAGAGAGTCGGTAAGTGTTTCCATATCCGAAGTTGAGGATTGCTCATCAGCTAAAGATTAAAAAAAAAAATTTTTACGCAAGATGAAGCGTAATAAAAAATAAAAGTTAACATATTTTTGTTATTACGTATTATTTTTCAGTCATTCTTGTATTTAATTTTTTATTGGTCATTTATTTAAATAGTGTGTAATAAAAGAGGGGAGTTTGGAACCATTAGTTAAAATTGTGTTCGAAACGGTTATAGTGAACTGAAATTTTGGTCCCTTAAAGGTTCACTAGAGCGGGGTTTGACTGCAGTTTAATTTTAAACTAGATTACTTTGGTGCCATTTAGGAAAGGGAGAAAGAGGTCTATAACTTTTTATAACAAAATTAAGTTACTAATATTTGAATATCTTTAGAGTTCATACAAAAACTAGCTTAATTATGTAAAATAACAGACAAACGAAAGCTAAATCAAAAGAGAAACATACCTCAACATGCAGGAACAATGGGCACAGCGAAAGCAATTCTTATGGATTCGCATACCACTCGTCTCCATTTTCTCCATCGGATAAACTTTTTTTCCACATAAACTGCAGACGTCTGTGTTAACAGCAGCTTGTTCTTGCTACATATACACATAAAATGTTATAATTGTGTAGTTCAACACATTTCTTAAATAGTTCGTTTTTAAAATTTAAAAATTACTAAATATTTTAATCAGCCTATATTTTAAATAGACAGAAAAATTAAAAAACAGAAAAGAATTTATTATTAGTGTGATGTTTAATAAGTTAACTAATTTTATACTATTGTAAATTTATAAACATTTTTAAAAACACTTCATATTAAATCAAATAATTTAAAATATGTGACAGATATTTTCAGTTCAAACACTATTGAAATTGAAAAATAGAGAAGAACTAAACATATTTTAAGTTTTAAAAACATCAACCAAAAATAAATATCTGGCTTATAAGAATAAAGAAATTTGAATCATTTAAGATAAATTTTCTTTGCTTTAAAAATTAAAATAACAAAAATCCCATTACACCAAATCAATAACTCAAGGCTAACAAAGCTGCAAAAGTATTAATTTCTGAAAAATAAAAATTATTTTTTTGAGTTTTATTAGACTTGCCCTGGAAGCTTTATATATATAAAAAAATTTTCGCATCATCAGTCCATGTAAAATTTGTGCTCACAATATTATGCAAAATAGAAAATTTATTTAGAAAGATAACTGTACTAATATATTTATTCTTTTTTTAGCAAGGTTCTAGCTAGATTTTCTATTTAATTTTTTTAAATTATTTCTCGAAGGAGTTTTAAAAATTATTTAAAAAAATACTAAATTTACAATCTGAATTGAATAATATTGTTTGCACATAAATAATACATTTTGGAAATGATTTTTTCAAAAAAGTTTTAGGTTGTAGCAACAGAAAAAATTGCAGCAAAGTAAATCACCATATGTTAAGAGTCAATGTTCATCACAATTATTGTTTAAGCCTTTCTCTGAAAAACTTTTTATATTCAAGTATTAGGTATCAAAGTCTACTAAATGACGGATGTTTTCAACTCAAAAGCTGGAAATCTGTCCAACCACGTTCCGAGTAGAAAGCTGCTCATTGTTTGTTACTTGGCGCTACAAGGCAATTCTTTTCACCAGAAAATTATATCAAATGAAATTAGAAAATCAAGATTGGAAAACAAATTTATTTTGATTGATTTCTTATTTAAAACTGATTAATCAAAAATGAATATTTTTAGAAGTAACTTATTTAACTTTTTTTTTTTTATAAAAAGAGTATGGTTGCTTTATTTGGATAAAATTCCTAGCCTAGCTATGGCATTTTGATTTGCTCCATTGTTTGACATGTCAATTTTTGGGGATATTTTCTTCTGAAATTTATTAGTTGTGTGAAAATTTCAAGCTCATGATTAAGTGTTTATATACTTTCAAATTAAACAAGCATAAAAACTTTGGATTAGTTATTAAGTATAATAATTTAAGAAGTATTAAATTCCAAGATAAACAAATTAAGTAAGCGCTTTTAATTTTAATATGTAAAAAATAGGTAAGAAACATGGCAGTCTGTTGGCTTATTACATTTAACAATTCCACCAATTCTAGTTTTTTTTTACTTTTTGACTTTCAGGGTAGAAGTAGAAAAATTTTAATGAATATTTTTCTTAGATTTGAAAGCTCAAATGTCAAGACTGTGGACTTTGGCTTTCATCTATCTCGAGCAGACTTTAAGTAAAATATGTTAAAGGACAATTACTACTTAAGACTCTACACTCTGATTAAAAGTTTTCAAGCCCAGCTTCTAAAAGTGAGTAAAAGCATCTCTACTATGCAGTCATCGTTAAAAAAAAAATATTAAGTGAATACATAAAATAAAATCAACTAAACACATTTTTATTTGTTTCAGTTTCTTGATGCTAGGGGCTTTGATACTATACGTATTTATACTCACATTTTCAATGCAAATTTTGAATTAAAGAGTAAGTATGGAGTAAAGTATCAGCCTAAAAAAATTTCTTCAAAGCATTAAGTCAGCGATATATGAAGGTTTTTTTTATTTTTTAATTCCATCTATCTGCTTAGTATTTTATGCAACATTCATTATACCAAAAATAAAGTTACACATGAAAAATTTATTAAATGAATTACCTAACAAATTTAAAATAACATAAATTGATCAAGAAAGAATCAAAACAGCAATATCAATATAAAACTAAATTAAAAAGAAAAAAATAATGACTACTCTACACAAAGTCATTCCATATTTTATTGAAATACAAATTTTTTTTTTATAAAAGAGTGATGGTAAGAAATATCATTGTTTCAAACGAAAAATGTAATACAGTTTGCGTAAAAAATTTAAATAATATTAAAAGACTCTTTTTTCTAAAAAAATATTTGCAGCATAGTACATATTTTCTGCAGTGAACATTTTGTACTTAGCTAGATATTATAGCATGTTAGCATCTTAATGCATTGACAAAACAGATTTAATCAAAACTAATTAACATTTTAAATTTAAGTGAAAAATTAAAATCAACTTAAATTTCAGTGTTTCCTAATTAACAAGTAAAAAATAAATATCATATGCAGACATATAAAACAATCAAAGCATTAACTTATTTTAAAGTCCATTTCAAATAATAACTAAAATATCAAATTTAGAGTCAAAAAATATAAATAATGCTTCACAAATAGCAAGAACTAAAAATTTAAGTTCTTCAAACAAAAATGTACAAAAAGAACAGAATCTAATATGGAAAGTTCAGATCGATAAAAGCAGTTCATATAGCATGAGAAGATCAGAGGAACCTTTAAAACAATACATCTGTGTGTTTGACTACAAAGAAATATTCCTTGCGTTAGGCATCCCATAATTGTGATGTTCTCAAATTTGATGAATCAACAACTGATCATAAAATATAAGATTTTCTTGAATGGTTGCCCAAATCAACAAGATGTGTAATAGTTGCTGATAGAAGCACATCAATCACATCTAAGAATATTTCTTGGCAATTACTAGGGAAAGAAGATAGAATTAAAATTTGCGATTCTGATTAATTTTTAGTAATCGTCATGCAAAGTTCAAATCTTCTTTGTTCCAAATGCTAAAAGCAGCATCTTCTGTTAAACAGCTGGTGGTTAAATAATCAAGCGATTTAGTAAAATAATCCATGCTCCTGACAGTTTTAACACTGCAAACTTGTTTCTATAAACTAAAGTTGAGGAGATTATGAAATAACTCATATTGCAACTTGTATGATTATAAAAAGTTAGAATTGTTAGAAAAAGCGACAAGGAATAAAATCAAAAGCAAAAATAATTATTAAAGTGAGTGGCAACACAAAACTATTTTATTTATGAAAAATTTAATTTCACATATAAACAGCCTTTGCTCAAAATCAAAGTCAATTTTCATGTTTAGCTGAGTAAATAAATATTAAGTTAGATAAGTTAAGTTAGAACACTTCAATTTTTATTCAATTATGAGATTTAATAATCAATAATCACTAAGAATTTTTTAATTTTATAAATATAAGTATAAAAATATAACAAAAAACTTTGAATTTCAGCAAAAGTATACATGACATGAATATCATACTAGTGGGAAACAAGGAAATATAAATATATATATATATATATATATATGCTTTGAATAATAAACACAAAGTATTAGCTTGTTAATAACACAGATAAGATTTTAAAACATAATAAACATCCAGATTGAAGTTGTTAATGATACTTAAACATCATAAACTGAACTAGGAATACAAAACATACTGTTATTAGTTTATAAAACACCATAATTTGCCTAATCATCTTAATTGTTTTAAATTTTTTTAAAACAAAATTTGGCCATTTTACACAGAAAAATGCTCTAATAAAAAATATTAACACACAGAAACAATTTTAAGTTGTACTAAGTGTTAAGCTATAGATAAAAATGTGATATCAGATAAAAATGAATCCTAAAAAAATACTGTTTTTAGAAAACATACTTATGAGAAATTATTATTTCATTTATAAGAGTGTCAAATCAATAAAATTGACATTCTCACTCACATGAGTATCAATTTGTACGTTCAATTGCTTTTCACTTCTAACAGTTTAAATTTTCTAATAAAAGCACATTGCCAAAATTTTTTTTAAAAAATGACGTTAAAGAAAAAGTTGGTTTTTTTTCCTTAATAAGAAAGATTATTTTAAAAATAGGAAAAAATTAACAGCAGATGAAAACAAACATTACAAGAATTGTAATGATTGAAATATAGGGTGTACTATAAGAGACTTTTCATATACTTAATGTAACTTATTTAAAAAAAACCTTTATGTTTTTTCTATTTCATTTAAATGTCTTTACTCTACACTTAATAACAAATTAATCAAACAAAAGTAAGAAAAAATATAATTTGAAATATAATTCTTACAAAAGGTTCAATAGAAAATTCTAAGTGAATAGGTAGTTTTTAATTTAAAATATACATTTAAAATATCTACTGCATATTCAAATTTTATTTGAATCCAGAAAGATTACAAAAATAGATAATGTATCTAATAGAAACTCAATTAATTAATTGTTACATTGACTTATTGAAAATAATGTATCACAAGCAGAGTAGCAATTATGAACTGAAAAGAATCATTTAATTGCATAATAGACTACTTGAAAAATTATGCATAAAAAGCATTTACTAAAAACTTATTTAATGTAGCATAACATTACATAAAAAACTTATTTAAAAAATAATGTAGTTAGTCAATACTTACAATAAATCTGTTAACTTTAGGCTTAGGCTTCTCTGGTGTTTTTACAGTGTCTTCTTTTATAGCTTCAAATTTAGCTCTTAAATTTTTAGTTGTATCAATCTGGGGCAGGAAATCCTCGCCTTCATCATCCTCATTACGCCTGTTATCTCTAAGCTCTGTGTCCCAATTTTCAAATTTTGCTCTTAAACTTTTAGCTTTATCTGCCTCAACAACAATATCTTCATCTGCTTTATAACTGGAACGAATTATACTTGGATCACGTTCTGGCTCTGGAGAGGAATCGTGACTTTCATCAACTTTTGTATATTCCCTAGGAGGTGTTATACGTTTTAAAGGTTTTGGACCAGATGGAAGAGAAGGAGTTTCTTTTTCTAATTGCTTGAATTTATCAAGCATTCGTCGAGCTGTATCAGTAGATGGTATGTCATCAATTGTATCAACTGCTCTTACTACATTAGGATCATGGGGAACTTCAGGCTCTGGAGAGCTTTCCCTCGCAGGTTCTCGGGGAGGAGTAATTTGGAATCTTTTCCTTTCTTTGGGAGCATCAGAATAGTTTTCAAAAAACTTAAATCGTTGAGTTACATCTGTTGTGTCTACTGGGATATCTTCTTTTTCTGTAGGTTCGCTACATTTCACAACATCGCCTTCTTTGACAGGCGAATGGAAATTGATCTGACGATCATGAATTGGTGACTTGGTAGGTGATTTTGAAGGAGTAATGGGAGTTGTTTTAACTGTAGCATCCATTTGTTGAAACAACTTTTTAGCATCATTCGCCATTCCTGAAAAGAAGATAAAAAATAAGGTTTAACTATGTTGTTGTTTCTAATGATTCTTCGATAAGCCAAGATTGCCAGCTATTGGCCTTCGGTTCAACTATTAAAACCTAGAACAGTTTCAGTAGAATTTAATTAAAAAAAATATTTATCACCATGAAAAACAAAATATGGGAGTTAAGAATTTCTTAGTTCACATGTTTTTTAAGGAAAAATATGTAATCAGTTAATTCTTAAAGAGATCTCTCAAACCACAAATATTAGTTTTCTATTGCATTTTCCACATAATTTATTTTCTCGACAAATTATTTACATTAATTATAAAGATTTCTTAAAATGCATCAAATTTAAGGCTTCAGTATAGGTACTTCAAGTGTAGATTATGAATGGTTTTACAGATTATATAGTTGCTTCATATTATATAGTTGCAAATTATTGTGCAACAGGCATACAATTTTTGAGGGGTTGAAATTAAAATACACAATTATAATAGATCTCTAACATCAAAAAAATATTAATTGTTTCTGATCACTAAACACTAGAAAGTTTTTTTTTTTTAATCACTTTCTTGCCTTTAAGTTTGACGAATTTAAAACAATAATGATTCATGAAAATTGTATTATTTGTCTACTATTTCTTATTTGTTTGATGAGGGGGATTTTGAAAGATTTCTAATTATTGAGGGGGACAAATACCTTCTTCACAAACGACGCCCATGTTCTGCAGGCATAATGCTCAAACACATTTTTTAAAATTAAAATACAAATATTCAAACACAAATCTGATTGAAGTATAGACAAAGTAAAAATTATCAAAATTTTAAAAATGAGAATTGTTTATATGGAAAATATATCTTTAACTGTTGTTCATCCAACAAAAACTGATCCAATTAACTAATAAACAAGTCATTTATTTAATCTTGACAATATATATAAGAAATGAGTTTATATTCAGTTAATTTTTTAATACTTATTTTTAATAATTTATAAATACTCAAAAATTAGAATTACTATAATTGCAGTCAAGAAATACCTCTGAATAAAAGCATAACTTATAAAACAATTCTTAAAAACAAGTTTCTATATTAATAACTGATTACACTTAAATTAAAATGCTGTTCATTAATGTTAATTGACTACATTTTTTTGGGGGTCATTACAGACCTGGGATTTCATTATTCATTCAGGTCTTATCTTTCTACGAATTAAACACTGATAATACCTCAGAAGTTTGTCATCAAATATGACACATATACATAGCTTACAGCAACATAACCAATAGTCCCTAACAATTTCTTTCTTATTAATTTAATTTTCATAACCCATTTCAGCTAGTTGAACATTTATTATGACCAGTTTACGAACAGAAATTGATAAAAGTGTTAAACCATAATTAAAATCAAATAAAATAAATTTATAACATAAATTAATCATAATTTTAAATTAAGAGTGCTCATAATTCATGTTATTTGTAACTGACTCTCAGATAATAGGAAGTCATGGTAAAAAGAGAACATTAACAAAAACAGCAGAAGCAAAGCTTATGTTAAATTGAAAAAACCATTAAATTTTTCATTTGGTTAATTTTTTTTTTACTTTATTTAAAACGTTGAGACAGAGTTCCTATGTTGAGACAGAGAGCAGTGATTAAGAAACATTCAATGCAGTGGACAAAATACAAAACTTATTTAAAATTAACATATTAAAAGTGTCATAATACACAATTTAAAAAAAATATTTCATCCTTTTTAATTACCTGGTTCTGTAAAAACACTTAAATCTTCTTCTTTCTCTTTCCGGAATTTTTCTAATTTTTCATCCTCAACTTCATCAACTAGTTCTCCTTTTTCAAACTTTTCTTTTATTCTAGTAGCTTTAACATCACGCCCAATATCAACTGCCTCTGTCCTACTGACAACAGGTTTAGCTGTATCTTGACAAGCTTTTTCATAAACTGCTTTCATTGACTCAGATCTACCAAGGCATATACGTTGGCGAAGTTTGTTTAACTCTTCTTTTTTCTCTTCAATCCGTTCCTCTTTGGTTGCAGTTACTGAACCACTTTCCCACTGTGACTTCAAACTAGACATTCCACTAAACACCACCTAAATATTTAATCAAATACTTTAAATAAATTTAAATTACAATCTATTATATTCAATTTGTGTAAAGATAAAGCATGAGACTTAACAAAAGAGACATGTTTGTTTTGAATTTATTTTCACTATAGTAAACTCCTAAATATTTATGCCCATGAATAAGCAAATTCCTTACATTCCCAAAATTTCCCAATATTATGTTTTGTTTAAAAACTTCTTTATTTTTAATAATAATTTTTCAAATATAATTCTTTATTAACTTTATTATTTAATTTTCAATAATAATTCATTCCTTTATTTTTCCTTAAAATTTTGTTACCACAGAGAAAGAATTTACCAGAGTCATAAATATGAAGGGAAGTAGCCTGATATAAATGAGATAAATAATCATAATATGAGAGTTCATTTTTTTAAAGTTTAGTTCATTTTTTTTAGTTTTAAAGTAGATAAATAAACTGTGCAAGAGATTTATACTCATAAATTAGACTCAATTTAAATTTATGTGAAAAGAATGATAAATTGGAACACACACAAAAAAATAATAACAATAAATAAATAAAAAAGCCATTAAAAACCTAATAATGATTTTTTTCAGCTATTACGCATTTATTAAACATTGTGCAATGAAGAAATTTAATTTTATGCAATATATAAAAGGATAACTAAAATAGTAATTTAAACTATTCTATTTTAAACAAAAGCTAAAATTATTTCTTACAGTTGAAGTGAGTTTATAATACATACATATATAAATAAAAACTCCACAGAGCCAGCTTTATGCATGTGTGACCAGTGTCATAAGGTCAGACAATTTTGCAATGATTAGTTGCACTATCCTTTTGAAATACTTGAGAATATCATTTAAAACGACATTGTTATTTTAATTTTACATGGTATTTTGTAAATAAAGAAATCATTAAACTTGATATTATATGAAACATATGGTGTGAACATATGGTGTAAAATAATGATGAAGGGAGAAAAAAAAGAGCAAAATTTTCATTAAAATTGAACAATTTACAGTGCCATAGTTAAGTTTATCAAAACTAATTTATTTGATGAATGAATCAACAAAAAAAAAAAATTTATAGAAATGATTTTTAGTTTCCTCTGAGAAATAAACTTGCTTCTTTGATTTTAATTCCACCTTTATTGTCTATGATCAACCTTGATGATCATTTAATTAAATTCTGATCCTGTTTTAATTTTTGTCGCATCATAAAACATTATTGAGTCTCCTAATTTGTGCATTTTAATCACTTGATTTTTGGAAAAAGATTTAGAAGAGTAATAAAAGTTAGTGGAATATAACTTAATAAGTACAAAAAAAACAACAAAAAAAACATGATAATTTGCAAAAAAGGTCAAAAATTATAAAAATATGTACTATGTATGTAACTTACAGTGTATAAAAAGATACTATGTTCATTTTTATTAAAAGTTAAAACATAAATCTCATAAATATAAATACCTCAGAATTGCATAGACAATTCAAAATAATTTCTAATATGAGCAAAGAAAATATTGCATGAAAGTGAAATGCATTAAAGTGTGATTAGATTAAATTGTTTTTAAAAATATTCATAGGAAAGTAATATGCTAAAAATTAGTCAATATACTTAAAAATAAAATTAAAAACTTTAGGCCTTTTATTACAATGAAACAAAATTTAAAACAAATAACTGAAGCATTAGGTATCAAAATCATATAAGTCCAAATTAAGTTACAAAATTAGCCAAGAAAAAATTGCATTGCAAAAGAATAAATTGATTTCTACATAAATTTCATTACAACTTTAAAACTCAGTGAAAAAATCTATAGAGCTGTCATTCATGAAGATGTTAGGAAAACATAAATTGTGGCATTACATACAATTAAAAATGCCACATTTCTCCAAATATAAAAAGAAAATTTTTTATTAGCCATTATTAAACTTTCTTCAATTAAACCTAATATTGCTGAACAATAATATTTCTGGAAATTAAATTGCTAATGATGAATCTATCATATTTTATCATTATATTAAGGAAAGTGTAATAGGATTACAACCAAATATGGAGTTCTGAAAATTCAATTTCTTCACTTTATTCAATAAATGAACATTAATTTAATATTTGACGCTTTTATATGTTTTTTAAAATAAGATAACAAAAGATGTATCTGTTAAGTAATTGAATTATAGCTATTGTTTCGATTTAAATGCTGAATAAATGCAACTAGGTCATTTTCTGGGAGAGGGGGTGAAAGTACATGAATTCACAAGATCTGTTTAGGATTTTAAGCAAAATTCCAATAGGATAGGAAATTCTAAAGAGATCTATATAAGCAGCTCGTTACCATTTCCATTTTTTTTGAAATCTTAACCAACAGAGTAATTTGCATACAGGAAAGTTGGCCTAGAAATTTTTTTTTAGTGCACGTCTCTAATTGATTAACAATTGGGAAAAACTGCTTTTATCTCACCAAAAAACAACAGATCAAAGGATATCTTCAGACATTGATAATGCTTTTTCCTTTAATATAAATTTCTCCCCAAAATAAGCAATCACTGCCTATAAACATGAGGTATGCAAAAATTGAATACATTATTCTGAATTAGTGTTTAAAAAAATTAAGTAACATGGAGTCCATTTGTCAATTTTAATTTCAGGTGCAATTCAGTAAAAAATTTCCTTCATTTTAATGGAGCTTGACAAGTTTTTGCACATAAAACTTCAATTATTATCCAAACAGAATGATGAGAAAAAAAAGGTGTTCACAGTCTAATTACTAGAAAACTACTGGATTAAACAATATAACATTAAGTAGCTAAATGTGTCAAACTATAAATAAAACAAAAGATTCCATAATAACATCCAAGTATAAAATGAAAATTAAAGTCAAATTTTATAGTCAATTCATACATAATTAAAAATTTGCAATAAATTAATGCAAAGTTTGATGAAACAAAATTCTTTCACAGAAAAAAAGTGATTAAATGATCTTTTTTCTCATGGGTAACAAATAAATATGATAACTGGTATGACAAAGTGATTCAGTAGCATAAAAAAAAAAGAAAGGAAAAAAAGAAAAAAAAGAAAACTTACAAAATTTTTCATTTTAATATATGCTGCTTCAATTTTTATTAAATTAATTTTATATTTCTATTTTTTAAAGGAAAACACAAGTAAACACTCTTAGTATTGGTTTGTAATGACACTGTTTTCAACATCACACATTTTATCTAATTAGCTGAGATCAGGTATTACATTTGAACAACTCAACTTAATCTAGTAGTTTTAAAATAAAAAGACTTCAAACACTTCATAATATTTGATGATATGTACAGTGCGCAAAAAAAGAGAAAAACAGACCACCCTGAATAACTTTTGACATTTTAATTAAAACTTCATGTTCTAGGACTCAATCTTAATGGCTCAAATATGCTAATCGATAAGTGCAGAGGATATTTTAAGAAACCAAATCAGACTTAAAAATGTACTTTCTTGGAATAAACACATCTTTTGACGGATTCAGATTTTTGATTATATAAGCCGCAATTTGAGAAATGATTATTGTAGTTTGTTCAGCAGAGCGCTCCAAAGTTTGGACCCCTTTTATGTTAATTTTAGTTTTTTTTGTATTTCCCTATATCTTGAAAACTTATAAAATGAATTGAAACCTTTTTGCACACAATTATAAATTTGTTTATTCAAAGGTAAGTCCATGCAAAAAATAACTTTTAATAAATATTTGTTATTTTTTGATTAATTTATTTAATAATTGCTAAAACAGTGTTGATTTGGTTAAAATACAAAATTTTTTTACATCATTTTAAAGAATATAATTTTAATTGACAAAATTTAAGCGAACTCCGTCAAGTAGTTCCTGAGCAATTGAATTTCAAAAAAGTCCAATGCTTAAAATTCGATTTCACAGGAACTATTTGACCAATTTTGCTCAAATTTTGCGTATTCTGTCATGTAAAATTATATTCTTCAAAATTATGCAAAAAATTTATACCTTACAATTCAACATTTTTTACTATTATTATATAAACTAATAATAAATATTTACCAAACATTATTTTTTACACAGAATTACCTTTGGATAAACAAATTTTATAATTGTGAGCAAAATCTTTCAATTTGTTAAAAAAAGTTCTGGAGATATAGCGAAATACGCAAAAAGTAAAATTAACATTAAGGGGTCCAAACATTGGAACGCCCTCCTGAACAAACTATTGGAACCATATTTCTCAAATTGGAGCTATCCCCTATATTTTAGGAGTCAAAAATCTGAATCCATCAACAACAAAAAGGTTTGTTTATTCAGAGAAAGTACATTTTTGTGTCTGATTTCTTAACTTTAAATATCGTCTGCACTAAATAATTAGCATATTTGAGGTTACCCCCTCAAGCCATTAAGATCCGATCATAAGATCAAAAGTTACTCAGGGGAGCGTACAATAATTATGTACAATTTGGCAGTCATACCTTTTCCTTGTGTTTACTAGGTTTAATTACAGTAGGATCTTCACTGCATTCTTCATCATTGTCTGATTCTGACAATTCTCCATTTTCATTTTCTCCTCCAGAAACAGCTGATTGATATCTGTGAAAATAAAATGCTTCAGTACAAAAGCAAAATTTTTATAAATTTAACATGTTTGGTCAATGTAAAGATTATTTATTTATGTACCCTGAAATGCATTCTAAAAACACTAAATAGAACAATGTGAAAACCAGGCTTTTGCATTATACGTGGCGAAAATTGACATGGTAAAGGAAAAAAAAATATCTTATTTTGGAAAAGGGAAAATTAAGCACTTCTTAAAAACACCCAATAAAAAAAGCACATTTAAGAGCTTTTAAAAATAAAAATCGTAAATTAGCACCTTTAAGCACTTTTCAAAAACACTACACACCCTGTAACAAAATGTTTTGGTGAGGGCCTAGCAAAAAATTCTTACACTTTAATCTATGGCAAATAAAGCACAGAAATAAAAATTACCACATCTTAACTTCTATGTAGCTGTAGCCATTAAAATGGTGTCTATGTATAGCAGAGTGGATATGATCTATCTGTCAAGATCATTTACATCACCAATAAATAGCTAAACAAATTATGAGTTAACTCAATTATTTCAAAATTGCTAGGGAATATCAACAATTTAGTTCTAAAAGACATCTTTGACATATTAAGGTTGACAACAAAATGTATGGCAATTTTCTCTTGGAGGGGGAGGGGCAAAGGAGAGAGGTTTGCAGTGACCAAATACATTGAAATTTATAAAAACAAAATTTGACACCACAAATAAAAAGAAAGATTATTTTTCAAGCACAAAAGATAGTGTCAAAACAGCAAACTGGATTAAGAAAGAAAAAAAAAACAGAACAGAAATATTTAACATTAAAATTATTTTCTCATTTTGTAATGTTACATTACGGAAAAGCTAAATAAATTACAGCCATCTCATGTTTTCCTTTCTTAACATTAACTTGCTCATGCAGTGTCAGGTCTTTCAGATAAAATATTGCAACAGTATTTTTTTTTACAAGAATTTTTTTTAAAATTTTAAAAAGAAAAAAATAATAATTCACTTTTAGACAGTAACAACAAGGAAAATATAAATAAATAAAAAATATATAACACATTTAAGAAAAGATCATATTTTCATTGATCAAGTAAATTATTTTATCTTAAAACTAACTTAGGTTAGGTAATTAACTACCCAAAAACAAATAATAAGTTACCAAACAAAATTTTTAGATCAAACATAGAAGACACACTTTTTCTCAAAAATTTGATACATCAGGAAGATATGGTTTTATATACATATATATAGTAAAGAAAATGAAAGTTTAATCCCAACACAAGTTTTATTTTTGCACTTTTGGTAATTTGTTCAATTATGTCATACCCACTTTACTATACCTAGACACAATTTTATGACTGTAGCACATGAAAGTGTTAAATGTTTTTTTTAAAAAAATATTAAGATTGATTTTTTTAATTATTTACATTCACATAATATGAACAGTAATAGTAAAAAAATAATGAAAGAATTATAACGCATTTAATAAAAGATAAAAAATTTCATTTATTAGATAAATTCTATCTAAAGACAATTATTCAATAACAAAAAAAAATTTTGAGATTATTTAAAAGAAACAAAATTCAAAAAATAATTTTTATTTTTGCATTTTCAGTCACTTGGTTATCTTATAACAACTTAACTATACCTAAATATCATTTTATGACTATAGTCAATGGAAGTTTTTTTTTTTTTTTAAATTATCAAGGGTGATATGAACAGTAACTGTAAAACAAAATAAATAATTATATTTTTAATAAAACATCAGATTTTCATTAATTAGGTAAATGATTCTGTTTTACAAACAACTTAGGATATGCTGGTAAAATAATACTAAATATTAAGTTACAGGACAAAAATTCGAGATCAAACTTAGCATTAAGTTATTTTTGTCTCATACCCATTTGATTAAAATAAGACATCAGTTATGACTATAACCAATAAGTTTTTTTTTTAAATATTAGGAGTGATTTTTGAACAGCAGTATAAACAAACCAAAAATAAATAAAAAATATTATAACACGGTTAATAAAAAATCAGACTCTTATTTATTATGTATTTAATTCAGTTTAAAGACCAACTTAGAACATGCTACTTAATAATTAAATGCTAATATTAAGTTACAAATCAAAATTTTGAGATCAAATAGAGAAAACAAAATTTTTCTAAAAGAAAATTATATATTATATGACCCCATAAGTTAAATTTGGACAGAAAACAAAACTTAAGCCAGAATAAGAAATTTTTATTATTGCACTTGAGGCTTTTAGCTTGATTATCTCCTATCCACTTGACTATATCTAGACACCATTCTTAACTTACAGTCTCCTGTAATTAAGAATGGTGTCTAGATAAAAGTAACATACTTCATTGGGCACAAAAAAATATTGTATAACTATGTTTCACACTAAAAAAAAAAAAATTATAAGGGATAGAAATAAAATGAAAATAAAAATTTCATTTAATTTAGCACAATGAAAGTTTCGAAATAATTATTTTATTAAAAAAACATATTAGTCCTCTAACCATTTTGTCGTCAATATAATCTTTTAGAATTTAACATTAAAATAAAATCGTATGCAAAATATAAATATATCTCCGAGTGAGATTCGCCCCCCCCCCAGTGACCACTGGATTTATGCTCGGATGCCGGTTATCGTTCAAAAACATTAATTTCGTAATGTAAGGGGTCGGCGATTAAAAACCTTTTAAAACAGATGAAGAAAAAAATGAATTTTAGTATATGATTATCACATTTTCATGTAAAATAGACGAACAAAATATATTCAAATAATATAATAAAGAGAAAATTGTATTATTAAATTGATTTTATTTTTAAAAATTACAAACTTTTAATAAGAAAAATTTTATACATATTAAAAACGCATTCCTGTTTCACAGAAATACATAATGAAAAAATTTATTAACCGCATATACAAATAAATTTAAATAAATAGGTTAATTTTTCGTTCGCAAAGACGATCTATTGCTTCTAAAATAATAAGATAATTGAACGTAAAAAAATGAACTTACTTAGCCAGTCTAGCCATTACGCTAGCAGACCGCTGTAAAGTGCATGCATCAGTTGTGGATGGAAGATGATGTTCCTCTCTGTAGGTTTCGAATTTAGATTTGATGCTGCTAAGATTTACAGGTATGTTCTCAAGGCCATGATCAGGTTTTGAATCAGCTGGAGGAAGAAAAAAAAAGGAACATGAAATTTCCAACACGCCCGTCAATGAAAAGTAAAATAAAAAAAAATCCCCACTTTCCCCACCTTCTTTCGCTTCATTCAACCATTCAAATTCACTACTTCGTCTATTAGTGGGGAAACTTTGAAGTTCTTTATACCAATTAATATCTAGAGAAGAATTGGCAGGAATAGGGTCTTCGGAATCATCCAAACTAGAGGATAAACACTGCTCTTCATCGGTACTCGCCATGCTCTTACTACATGGATTGCAGACAACGACCTCTTCCCATCGATTTTCTACCCCTGACCCACCGACGAACGCCCCCGCCACCGGGTGGACTCCACCAATATGCCCCACCCTCATAGGGGAAAAGAGTATGAAGGAAGGAAGAGGGGCATACATTTTACACTTTCAAACTGAAACGTTCGCTTAGTTAAAAATATCTTGGCAAGTGCCCATAATAATATAGGTGTTCTTTAGTATTAGTTGTCGACACATTTTTAGTGCCTTTTAAATAACACTTTCAAATTTATAAGATTGGTAAAAATAATCATAATTATAATAATTTACACTAACTGATTATTAAATACTTTTTACGTTAATAGTATAGGTAAATTATTATTTCAGCAAGTGACCATAATAATAACGGTGCTATCTAATATTAATCGTCAATAATTCTTAGAACCTTTTAATTAAGGTTGAAATTGGTGGGGAAAAAATTATAACACCTTACGTTATTAGTATAGGTCAATTATATTACTTCAGCAAGTGACCATAATAATAAAGGTGCATTCTAATATTAATCATCAACAATTTTAGAGCCCTTTTAATTAAGGTTAAAATTGGTAAAAATAACTATAATTATAATATTTTATGCTAACCGATTATTAAATACTTTTTACGTTATTAGTATAGGTCAATCGTATTATTTCAGCAGGTGACCATAATAATAACGGTGCTATCAAATATTAATCGTCAATAATTTTTAGAACCTTTTAATTAAGGTTAAAATTGGTGGGAAAACAAACAAAATTGTAACACTTTACGTTATTAGTATGTAAGTCAATTATATTACTTCAGCAAGCGACCATAATAATAAAGGTGCAATCAAATATTAATCATCAATAATTTTTAGAGCCCTTTTAATTAAGGATAAAAATGAGGAAAAGAACCATAATTATAATATTTTATGCCGATTTATTAGTAAATACTTTTTTACGTTATTAGTATAGGTCAATCATAATAATAAAGGTGTAGTCTAATATAATACACCAGCAATTTTTAGAGCCCTTTTAAATAAGGGTCCAAACTTTATAAGATTGGTAAAATAATATTTTACGTACCATAATTATTACCATACCATATTATAATATTTTACGCTAACCGATTATTAAATACTTTTTACGTTATTAGTATAGGTCAATCATACTATTTCAGCAAGTGACCATAATAATAATGGTGCAATCTAATATTAATCATCAAAAATTTTAGAGCCCTTTTAATTAAGGTTAAAATTGAGGAAAATAATCACAATTATAACATTTTACGCTGATTTATTATTAAATACTTTTTTACGTTATTAGTATAGGTCATTCATAATAACAAAGGTGGAGTCTAATATAAATCATCAGCAATTTTTAGAGCCCTTTAAAATAAGGGTTCAAAATCTATAAAATTAGTAAAAAGAACAATTTTAACATTTTCCGTTTCGCGAGCTTAAATACATCATGTAATTAATATAAGTATATCATATTATACTGCCATAATCAAAAATATGACTGACTTGTATTAATAACATAAAATGGTTTTAATAATCGGGCAGCGTGTTAAATATAGTACTTATGAATCATTCAGAATAAGTGATTATAGCAAAACGCTTTAAGATTTCATTCCAACAATTTTGAGAAATTTAAGTTGAATGAAAGAGCACTCAAAAATCTTATATTTGTACTTACGATAAGCTATCAGTAAAAAACATTTAAATTTTGAACAACATAAAAATTATTGAAGTATAATAATTTTCTCTAAAATTGAAAAAATAATCGTTGGCTTAGAATTGTTTGTTTTAAAAAAAAAAAGTCATTAGGATTAAATATATACATTTTCTTTTCTGTATTGCAGCAATAGTTTTGGAGAGAGCGAAATTCGACGACTAAGTTATTCAATGTATTCAGTTCAGTCTTGCTAAATAATGATTCTCCAGATTTTGAATACGTTTTTGTTTATCGTTTATACGACCTATAATGTCTATTCTTTTTTTTAAACTTCATTTGGAATACCTAAAAATATCCATTCAGGGTAGTTATTACTAAATACCTGTGCAAAAAATCTGCTAAAATTGAACAACACCTTCTTTGATAGAAAGACACTACAAAAACAAATAAATAGATATTTTAAGAAATAAGAGAAAGAAAAAAAATTTCCAATTTCTTTCCTTGAATTTAACGTTTTAAAAACAAGTTCATATATTTTTATTCTAGAGAACCTTTTTCAGTATAATAACGTGACTTATAATTTGATTTACAATTTTTATATAAATTTTTGTTGAACAATCGACCTAATGTTCATCACTGTAGCCTCGTAATTTTGAACTCAATCCAGAAGACAATAATTCGTGGGTATTGGAAGAAATTTTGCATCCGTTGAGGATTTTTTGATGGAATTATCCTGCATCTGCGTTACATGGAGTGGAAAATCTCTCAAGGTTAGTCGGACGGCAAAGGGGATTCTAACCCATGATCCTGAGGATATTTTACGCGAGCACTGTAGTTTTAAAAATTAGAACAATAAAATTTAACAATTATGTTTTTTCCCTTAACTTTTCGAGTGATCATTGCATCGCATGGGCCCGATTTCTGAGGGAGACGAATTAGAAATACAATAGTTCGCTGAATTTCGCACATAAAAAAAAAGTCTTAAGTCTGCAAAAAGATTAATAATTTTTATCTCTTTCTTGATGGATTTAAATCGCGAAGAATTTAATTTCGCGAAAATTATCTTTATTTGTCTAAAATATTGGGGGGAGGGATTTTAGACATTTTTAATTATTGAGGGGGGCAAATATCCGCCGTCGCAGTCGCCAACGACGTTTATAAAAAAAATTTGACGTGCGATAATTTATTAATGCGCAATTCCGGCACAAGCGGATAAACTTCTACATATTATTCAATCAAAATATGAAAGATGAAATGCGCATAAATTTTTTGTATCCAATAAAGGCGTTTATTTATTGAAAACAAATTCGCGTACTTTATTTTTAAACAGTAATTTTTTTTTTATTAATTTAACGGTACATTTTATTTCTCAGTTGTATATATAGTTATGGTTATTCATGTTTTCCGTTTAATACAAATGTGGTAGGAAAAATGTTCAGAGACGGAAAATTCCTTAAAGATATTAATAAATAGATAATTCTTACTTTTAATCAATTTTTGTAATTATTAATTTCTTTTTTGAACCTAGTACCGTTTTCATTATTATAAATAATTGTTTTTTCTTAAAAAGAAGAAAAAATGAATTTTTTTTGACAATTTTGAATATAAAGTATTATAACAGGCTTATTATTTCATTGAAAGCGGTTCAATTTTGACTTGGGCTCGAAATTTTTTTACTTTTTTACATGTGCGGCAGGGCTATGTTAGAATACAAAATCCATGCTAAAATGAAACTTTTACATGCTTTAATATTATTTCGATTCCATATTAAGAAAAACATCTGATTCTATTCTTCGCTTAAAAATGACATGAACAACATATATTCAGTACGCAAAATAAATAAATAAAATAAGCGAAACACCCAGAATAACTTTTGATCTTAGGATTGGATTTTCATCTACTAGGACTCTATTTTAATGGTTCGAGGGTATGACCTTAAATATTCTAATTATTTAGTGCAAACGATATTTAAAGTTAAGAAATCAGACACTAAAACGTACTGAATAAACATACTTTTTTTCCCCCCGACGGATTCGGATTTTTGATTCCTGAAATTTAGGGGGTAGCCGTAATCTGAGAAATATGGTCCCAATAGTTTGTTCAGGATGGCGTTCCAATTTTTGGACCCCTTAATGCTAATTTTATTTTGTGCGTGTTTCGCTATATCTCCAAAACTTTAACAAATTGAAAGATTTTTGCTCACAATTATAAAATTCGTTTATCCAACGGTAATTCCATGCAAAAAATAATGTTTGGTAAATATTTATTATTAGTTTATTTAATAATGGTAAAAAAAAAATTGTATTGTAAGGTATAAAATTTTTTGCATAATTTTAAAGAAGAATACAAAATACAAAAAAGAATACAAAATTTAGCCAAAATAGGTCGAATAGTAACAGAAAAATCGAATTTTAAAAATCTGACCTTTTTTGAAATTCAGTTGCTCATGAACTATTTGATAGAGTTCGCTCAAATTTTGTATTTTGCAACGTAAACTTATATTCTTTAAAATGATGTAAAAAATTTTATATTTTAACCAAATCAACATTTTTTTCAGCCATTATTAAATAAATTAATAAAAAATTAAAATATTTATTAAAAATTATTTTTTGCATGGAATTACCTTTGGATAAATGAAATTTTGTGCAAAAAATTAGTATTAAGTTACAAAATTAGTATTAAGTTACGAAATTGGACACAAAAACACGTACTTTCTCTGAATAAGCATTTCAACAGAATTAGGATTCATTGCCTTCAAAATATAGGAGGTAGCCGCCATCCCAGGATAAATATGGTCCCGGTAATTTGGTCAGGAGAGCGATTCAGAATTTGAAACAATTAATGCTAATTTTATTTGTTGCGTGTTTCTCTATTTCTCGAGAAATTTTTCTGCAAATTAAAATTTTTTTTTGACCACAATTATAAAAATTCGCTTACTCAAAGATAATTCGGTGCAAAAAATAATTTTTAATAATTACTTATCTTATCCTATTACTTTTATCATTTTATATAATAACAGCCGAAAATGTTTTGAATTGTAAGGTATATAAACTTTTAGATCA